CCCTATAGCCCTGAATGGGTTTTTCTCCGGTATCATTCTTCTTCTGTTCCTAATAATATTGCTCATTCTTCTCCACGGTCGTCTCCTCCTGCTTATCCTCCTCTTCCGTTCTTGCTGGATAGGTTGCCTCCTCCCCTCTCTCGCGCCCCCGAACACTTATACCTAATGTATGTATGTATGTGTGTATATATATTTATATATATATATATATATATATATATATATGTATGCACACCTCTCTCGCCTCATCTCCTCATCCTAGTCCTCCGTGACCTCTTCGTTCTCCTCCTCTCCCCTTCGCCCTCCTCATCTTCCTCTTCCTACTCCGATTTCCTCCTCCTGCTGCCCACTCTCCCATCCTTTTCCTATCATCGTCCTTGTCCCGCCCTCCTTCCTCCTCCTCCTTTCTGTCACTCCCTCTTTCTCCCCCTCCCTTTGCCGTTCTTCCTTACCTCTATTCCTCCCGCCTCGTTCCCATTGCCTCCCGTTCCCTGCCACTCCTCCCAGCCACGATGACCTCGACGGCCGACGGCGACCCCGTTGACCGACGGCAGCGACGGTGACAGAGCGCCATGCGAGCCATTTTGGCTTGCCAGGGGCCGGCTGGCCACGATGCCTGCAGAGCCCACGCCGGCCAGGCTGGCCGTTTTCGTCGTCGTCCGCGCCAGAGTGACCGTTCGCCAGAGTGATCGTTGGATGCTGTTTTTTTTTAGGGTCCGGCGGATCGGCCGAGAGACCCGGTGGTCCGGCTTGCCCTCCCCCCGCCCCCCCCTCCTCCGTCCCGCACGGACGGCCTGACTTCGTCGGACGCGCAGGTCCGAAGGGGGGAACGCAGTGCGGGTGCGCGCGGGGGGGCTGCCAAGCTCGGAAGGTTTGGTTGTCGGCCGTCACTGATGGGCCTGTTTTCCACCACCACCACCACCATAACTTGGAAGGGGGAAGGAGGACGAGGAAGAGCAGGAGGAGGAGGAGGAGGAGGAGGACCCCCTCCCCCTCCAACTTATGGTGGGGTGGTGGAGAACAAGCCCATGAGTCACCTCCCTCCCCCTACCCCAGCAGATAGCCCGGGCTGTCGCCGACAAGTGGTCAACGCTCTCGTGCGCGGCGTTCGGGGTGCGTCGACGGGGGCCAGCAGCCCAAGCACGGGGCCGCCGCTGTCGCATCGCATGCGCCAGTCGGCAAGCCGCTCACCGAAGGTCCTGATTTCCCACGTCTACTCTTGCGCCCAGCCAGATGACGGTCGCGTTCGTCGTGACCCCAATTTTTCTTATCCATAAAAACATCCAGGCGTCGCAACCAAACTCGCGGTGTCCGGCTTTCCTACCTTTTCGGCCTCTGCAAAGCCCGCTCTTGAACCCAGGTCTGTCAAAATCTGATTCGGGGTGAAAGTTGGCCACGAGGAGGGGGTCGAGATCCTTGTTGATCACGTCACGAAAAACATGCGACGTCGCAGGAGTGAGTTTATAGTTGGGGCGACGCTGAGTCTGGTTGGAGAGCCTGGCTGGAGTCAAGGTTCTCCATTTGGTGATCTGGCGGACCTCCATCTGGATTCAGCATTCTCTTTGGGGACGCTTAGTCGGGTTTGAGCAGTACCAGTAGGACGGAATGAAGACGCTCCACCTGGTTTCCAGCTAGTTTCAGCCCCTTCAAGTGGTCGCAGTCGTCGTCATCATCGTCGTTTTTGTCGTCGTGGAGGTTGTCCCCGTCGTTGCCGCCGTCGCCGCCGTCGTCGTCGGACGTTCCTGGATGTTCTCAGACGTCCGCGTCCGCAGAGAACCTGTTTGAGGTCTCTGGACGCTTCCGGGAGAAGGGAAGTCAAATCATTTAGACAATTGGATTTTTGATTCCTGCTCAAACATATGCTCTGGCACAGACGAAACCATCGAACCTCGATCCAAATATTTGTTCAGAGCTGTTCGATGCATCCTCGCCCGAGCAGCGATCGGCTGCAGGAAAGTGTGCCCTGTGGGGCCCGAGGGGGGGCCCGTAGGGCGTCCGAAGAGTGCACCTTTCTCACCCCTCCCGCCCTGACCTTCCAGAGAGCTATTTTTAAGCACGGGAGGCCTAAAACTTAAAAAACGAAACGAAACAGCCTAAAACCAAGACGTATAATTAATAGCTTTGGGATTGGTTTTTCAGTCGCGTGCTATTTTTCTGCCCTCCTGGAAGGTCAGGGCGGTCATCGCCCCCCCCTCGTTGAGCGGCGGCCAATCGAGGGTCCCGCTCCCGCGGATCCGCGCGGTGCGCCTCGCTTCGCTGCGCTCCGCTTCCCCTGCGCCTCTGCTCGCCCGCCCCCGCCGGAGGCGAAGGAGGGCCCCCCCGCAGCATGGCGCGCCGCGGCTGCGCCTCCTGCTGGCGGCGGCGCACCTGCCGGTCGCCCCTCCGCGCCTGCCCGGGTCCGCCTTGGGGTCGCCGGCCACGAGCAGAGGGGGGTTAAACTGGGACCGCCGCCGGGGCTGCCCAGTGGATGAGGGGGTTCCAGGTGGATGCCAAGGTGGGCTATGCCTGGCCCATGGCTCATGAGTGGGGAGGGGGGGAAGGTCAACCACCCACCAAACCACCCCAACCCAACCCGAAGGCCTCAAATTGACCTCCATTTCCAGTGGGGTGGGGGGGGGGGTCGGGGAACATCGAGAAACCACACATGGAACCCGTACCCCCCCCCAACCCGAAGTTCGGGTCTTCGGGTTGGGTTGGGGTGGTCTGGTAGGTAGCCAGAAGGCCTCTCAGGAGCACCCCGGAGGGCGGGGTGGTCCCGGGGCCTCTGCAGGAAGGCCTCGGGGAGGCCGTCCCCGGGAAGGAAGGCCTCTCCGAGGGCCTCTCAGAGGCTCCTTCGAGGGCCCGGGCCGTGCCTCTGCAGCTGCGAGGCCGGCGCCGTCCGAGGAGCAGCCGCCCTCGGAGAGGCCTTCCGTCCCCTCCCCCGTGCCCCCCCCTGGCCGCGCCGCCTATGGGGAGGGCGGCCGCGCGCCGACTCACGCTCGCCTCCACCAGGAGGAGGACGAGGAGGAGGAGGAGGAGGAGGAGGAGGAGGAGGAGGACGGAGGAGGAGGAGGAGGAGGAGGAGGAGGGAGGAGGGAGAAGAAGAAGAAGGAGGAGAGAGGAGGCGGAGCAGGAAAAGAACAGACGGGGAGGGGAGGAGGAGGAGGAGAAGCAGAAGGAGGAGGAGGAGGAGGAGGAGGAGCAGGAGGAGGAGGAGCGATTTTGATCCGTCCGCGAGTTGGTGTCCACGGGTGTCGCCTCTCCGAGGTGCGTACGCTTGTGCATTTTACAGCGTACGACGTCTCGTGCGCTGTGCCCTCGACAGCGCTCGATCGCGATTCGCACTTCCACCTGCTGCCCGCGGATCCTCTGCGCCGCCGGCTTGAAAGCGTGCTTGTGTGTATTTGTGTGTCTGTATGTGTTTGTGTTGTGTGTTTGTGTGTGTGTGTGTGTTTGTGCGTGCGTGTGTCTGTGCGTGCGTGCGTGCGTGCGTGCGTGCGTGCGTGCGTGTTCGTGCCAGCCCGCCGTCGATATCGTGCTCCGAGTCGGCAGACCTGTGCTCCAGCACACACGCACGACATCTCCGTGCTCCGAGCATGGCTTCGCGGTCCGCGGCTCCCCCTCCCCCCGTCCGCCCCCTCTGCCGCTCGGGCCCCGCGGGGCCCCCGGGGCTGCCCCGAATCCGTGAAGCGGCTCTGCGCCGGGGCGGCCAACAAGTGTGTGTGTGTGTGTGCGTGCGTGCGACAGCGGACGACGCACCAACAAGTGTGCGCGCGTGTGTGGCAGCGGAAGACGCACCAACAAGTGTGCGCGTGTGTGTGCGCGTTTGCGCGTGTGTGACAGCGGAAGGCGCTCGGTCATCTGTCGGTGAGGGAGGGGCCACCTGCTGGTGCCTCTCTGGCTCTCCAGTCGGCTCAGCCCTTCGCCTCGGCGCCCGCACGCCGCGCAGCAGCCGGTTCAGGCGCGGCGCGACCGTGCCCGCCTTCCCTGGAGGGGGCCCGTTCCTGTTTCTCGACGTCGGCCCCGGGGGGCCGTTGTCGGGCCGTTGTCGGGGGCGGCAAAGAGGGGGGTGATGACTAGGGGGGGTGGATATCAAGGCGGGGGCCACGAGGGGGGTGGATCATCAGGGGGGGGTGGATGATCAGGGGCGGGGTGATCAGGGGGGGTGGATATCAAGAGGGGGGTGATGATCAGGGGGGGGGGATATCTCCCCAGATTTCATGGCGCCTCTTCTCATCTCACTACGTCCCCGGGCCCCCCTTGGGCCGCGCACGTGTCGCCGGCCATGATTTGCGGCCCCCCTCTTGGCCGCCCCTGGCCCTGGGGCCATCACGACTGGATCTGGGACGGAAAACTCACCCAGGAGGCGGGGTCGAGAGCTCCGGGGCCGCAGATTGAAACGGACATGGCGGGGGGGGGTTGTGGCCCACGTCGCGTCGGGGCCGGCCACACGCGGAGGGCCGCACAGACAGACCGTGGGGATTGCGGTTGGGTGACAAGCGTTGGGCCCGACCTTTGGGGATGTACGGTGAGCGGAAGGGGGGCGTCCATCATGGACATGGGTGCGTCTGGGCTGTCGACATCGCCCCGGGGTGCTCGGAGGGCCTGCGGAAGCCAGCTGAGGCTACCCGAAGGGGGGGCTGTCTGTGCGCCGCCCGAAGCCTTACCACCCCCGATCTTCGAGATACCCCCCGAAGAGCTTGCCGCTCAGAGACGATGGGAAACTCGGGTTCCCATCCCCGGGGGCCTATCTGGAGGCACCCCTCTTCATGACGGGCGCAATCCTCCAACTCATCGTATACACCCGAGGCGTTTTGTGATGCTCGCCGTATCTACCTGGCTTGGCTCCGATGTTTAGGCAGGAGGCGCTGTACAGGTAATGTGCGTTGGTTTGTCCTTTCCTCCTCACTCCGCGCCCTCTCTTCATCCTTTCCGTTGCTCCGCCCTTTCCCCATTCGCGCTGGGCACCTGAGCGAGCCCCGCCGTCAGCGCCAGTAAGGAATATATGCGCGCTCGCGTGCATGTTCTTCGACAGTGGTCGACGCACGTTGGAGACCCAGTGGCCTCTTTGATGGCATCTGCTAGAACACTTGTGTAAAAGCCACTGGCCTGCACCTCTGGTTCGATGCTTCGGCCTGGGCGGCAAAGCGCTGCACAGTGCAGCATCGGCCCTCAGCCCTCTCGATTGGGGTTGCGGATCCGCTTCGCCATCCCTCACCAGTCCGCCACCGTGCCTCTGGGGCACGGAGCGGGCATGTCCTCAGGCCTTTTGCCGAGTCTTCTCAGCCTAACTCCTGAGTCCTGAGGAGTCTGTGGGAGGTCTGGAGCCCAGCTTGCCACATCTCTCGGGGCCTGGCGCAGCTCGGCGCGGCTTGCCGCTATATACGTTCATGGATTCACTCCAAGATTTGCCCACGCCCTTGATAGGCACACCGTCCCCGTGGAAGCTGATAGGAATCGTGCATTGATCCCAATGTGGCGTGTTCTTTACTGCGTTTCCCTCCAAAGCAGGATGGTTGCTGACATCTGCCCAACATTTAACGAGGTCGTTCCCTGAGCTGCACACATGTTCTCTCCAATGTGCTGGGTAGCAATGATATAGCACTGCAAACAATTCAGGAGGAAGTCTCATTTCCGTTGGCCTGTCAGCGAAGATGCCAGCGCGAGGGGTTTTGCATGCTGCTATGAATTTGACAGTGCTGGGGATGTTATTTGCTGGTAAATGTTTCACCCAATCACCGTGACAACGGTTCGGGTAAGCGCCCCGCGATCCCAAATCCGCCAAATTCGCGAGCTCGTCAGGCACGCTTGGGCTCCCAGAGGACAACCAGTCATCGAAATCCATCCTCGCTTTGTCGGAAATTGCTTGCACCATTCGCGGCGACAAATGGCCCCACGCCCATAATTCCAACAAGGATGTTGCCAAATGGCTGGTTTGCTCTCTGTGAGGTGTGGTCTTGCCCTTGCCACGGCCGCGCGCGAGGTTTTGTTATCGTTGTTCTTTGGTTTTCCCCTTGCCCCTGCCCAGTGCAAGCCGCTAACATGGAATAGGGAAATGTGCCCGACGAGAAGGAAGGAGAATACCTCGCAACACAAAACGGCTTCATTGGAAGCGACATTGGATACGTGCAAACAGCATGCAAACGCAGACGCAATATATGGCATGGACATTTTCTGAGTAATCGTGACACATGACCAGAACAAATCGGATCGCGCGGTCGTGCGTCGTCGTCGCAGCCCTCGTCGCTTACTGATGGCTGCCCATCCGTAACTCCATGCGCGCCCGCCCCCGCCCTCGCGTCATGCACGCACTCACGCGCATGCGAATCATGTCAACTGGACCGCGTTGAAATAGCGTTACACGCCATCTTCAAGCAAACCAGCACCAACTACGTCGACATTACGCTCACATGAAAGTCGATTCGCACATTGCTGACACCAGCTCAACGCCAGTTGTGCATAGCACAGCGGTGCTCTTTGCAGTCGTCGCAGTAACGAACGACACCCCCTCCTCGCAGGCGTAGCCGCACATGCCGCAATTGCAACAACGATGAACGGGATAAACACTTCGCGCGAATTTCTTCACACGCGTAGAGCTCAAGCACGAAACGGCATCAAGGCCATGCGAGCAGTCTCTCGTGAGGAACAGAATTGCGGCACCGCGCCGCGTTGCAGTCATGCCATCTCACTATACACACATCATTCAGTCCATCCGATCTCCCCTCATCCTCCCTGTCATGTCACCAACACTCACCGTTCTCCATCATTCCGAAGCTGCCCCAGATGCTGTGGATGGCTATGCGACGCCATACAGTCGCGAAACACACGCGAACACATATGCTTCGCATGACACATGCAAAAAAACAAAGCAACATCTCACAACGACAAGATGCCCGTGTACGTAGCCGCTCAGCCCTGGAAGTCCGCAATGAAGGCAGAAGCCAACGTCTTCTCATGGAGACGAGCGGGACCAAAAACCAAGCAGGACCGCGCGAACCTCTGCCATTGCAAACTGCAAAAGAGACGAACACACACATGCCACATCTGCAACATAAACAATCTCAAACAAACTAATCCTGGAAGCCCTTTCTGGAGATCGACCGCAGCATTGCTGAGGAAAGTCTTGCAGTACTCCGTCGTCAGTGGTTCGTTGTCCTTGGTAACCGTGTGGGTCTGCATCTTTCCGACAACGCGCTCTGCATCCTGACAGGACGTGGCGTCGGAACGAGCAAATAAAGTTTCAATAAACAAGTTGCGTGCATCATAATGTGGGACATGCAACGCGCGCGGCCAAACCAAGCTTCACGCATACGGCATGGAACAAAAACAAGACATTGCGACTTTCGTCGGCGAGGTTCCTTGAGTTTGGGCTCCAGCTATGCCAACTTCTTAGCGTGGGAGTTGACGACGTCGTCGCCGCAAGCTTTGAGCATGCTCCCCAATTTTGTGAGCTCATTTAAAGTCTTCACATACGCCTGCCACGCCTCCTCGACGTGCTGCTTGAAAGGCTGCTGGATCTCATCGTCGCGCATCTTCTTGCCCATCTCCTTGCGCGAAGAATGCAACGCGTGACTGCTTGCGCTACGCGCGCGCGGCAAACGCATCCATCGGACATTCGTGAAAATGCGTTCAACCACGAGGCGAGGGAGGTAGTGACGAACACGATGCTGCGCAATCTGTCGCTGAAACAAACCCATTCCGAACGTTCACATGTAAACAAAGGCGCAAGGCAACACTTGAGGAACAAATGAACAGATGTCCTGCGCCTTCTTCGTGGGAAAATTGAAATCCCACCCGACAGCGTCGAGGGCCTTCTTCATTCTCGAAGCCTCTGCGGCACTGACCTGGTTTTCGCCGTGCAGAGTGGAGCGCTTCTCAGTCCCAGTAGTCTTGTCGATTTGATACCCCGTGTGGCGGCTATACTGCAAGCCGTCAATACCGAGATACTCCTTGGCAGCGCCACGGTCAACAGCGTTCTTGTAGGCAGTTTGTGAGGGGCAACGCGAAACTATTCAGACGCGCGGTTGGCATGAAAAAACAGGCAAGCGCGCCTTCGTGCAAGCACGCGCACAACGCGATAATGCGTACCAGAGCAAGTCTGATGCAGAGCAACAAACATCACGCGACGTACATTTAATTTGTGTTTGTAATTCATACAACGCATCATCATGATACAAACACAGCCTGAATGCTGATGCAACGCATACAACAGTCGGCAGAGCGTGTTTGGACTCGGTAGTCCTATTCCTCTCCATGTACGATTGGTTTTCATGCGAAACGGGCGGAGGGAAAATTGAACGACAAGATAGCGCGCGCAGAAACAAAAGAGAATATCAATGCCATTTCAAACTGACATAGACGACACGGAAGTAGGAAGCGTGAAATAATATTGCAAGCATTATTGCGTGCTTATATTTTGGGTGCAACATCAAAAACAAAATGCCGCAGCGGTCCTTCACCATGGAAGCGTTCACATCGACTTTGTACTTGCCTGGGCCTTTGCTTTTCACCACGGTGTTGATGAATTTGGTTGCTTTCGTTCTCTTGGCTTTGATGGCCTCCCAGGCCGCTTCAACTTCGGGGTCGACATCGCCAGCTGCCAGGAGCTTCAAGAATTTAACGAACTTGTTCCGATCCCTGGGCCCGACTTTGTCATCCTCTTGCTCTTCGTCCTCCTCTTCTTTGTCCTGAGGTAACGTCGACGATTGGTGAGCGACATGCAACCAAGGCGACAAAACAGGAACCCCCTGGCATTCCGGACTCAAACGCGACGCAAACCTCTTGGGCGTGCGCGGAACAAACGCATCTAGCAAACGCAAATCAGAATGGTAACGCGATGCGCAACACCGCAGCATTCATAACAGGATTCGGATGAGAAAACGCGTGGATCGCTTCCTGGGCCGAAGGGCGCTTCACCACCTTTGTGCTGGGCCTTTGGAGAACCGCTGCTGCAGGCCTCTTCTTGGCCGAGGCCTCTTCTTCGTCTTCGTCTATATGTTCCTCCGCCGCCTCCTCTTCCTCTCCCTCTTCATCTTCCTCGGCGTTGCTGTCCGATGGGACAGGCTTTTTCGTTGGCTTATCGTCCTTGCAAATTAGCAGCTCAAAATCGCTCGCATCGTCGTAGGCGGCAGTAAGATTGCTTAGCGAATGGCTTCACGTCGCAGAATGCAACGTGCATGCGTCATAAAGTCAATGAATAGCCAAAGGCATGAAACATCTTAGAAACCAAAAACACGATGATCATACTGTCCTTCCCCACGTGGCCATCTGGCTCAAGATGTCACCCCGAGCAGCAGCTGGCTTCCCGCCGAGCTTTGACACACCAGGCGCCATCGCCAAGTGAACGCATGATACAATACCGACAGAAGCCCCGCGCAAAACAGCACTGCAAGTTATCGAACACGCGAGGCGAACAAACAAGTATGCCAAGGAAACATTGTGTCACAACGAATGCAGCGATCTCATTGAAACGATGCGTCGTAACGACATTGCGACATGAGCAATAAAATGCAAACAAAATATGTAACGTGGACGTGTGCTGGGCAACGTGTGTTCTGTTAAACCAAGAGCTGCGCACGCATGCTGCAAGTGCGACATCGGATACGAGCATGAAGCAATCATTCAAAGCAGCGTGTGAACAAGTATGGTCAGATATCGACATGCAAAAGCATGCCTTACACAACATAGAAAGCAAGTGGAATGAGTAGTATATGATGTGTGCATTTGCAACACTAATGATAAACACATGCCGATTGTAAACAACGGAAGGCGGCAACTATAAAAATGATTCGTCGTTTTGAATTGGTTTGTATTTGAGCTGCATGTAATTTCGATGTAGTTCCGATGTAATGTGCATCGGAACTACATGTAGGTTCGGTGTAGTTCCGGTGTAGTTTACATCGGAACTACATGTAGTTTCGATGTAGCTTTGATGTAGTGTTGATGTAGTGTTGATGTAGTTTTGATGTAGTTGTGATGTAGTTTGGATGCAGTTTCGATGTAGTTTCAACGCTTGGAAGTGAACATGTTAGAACTTGATCTGCAGCGCGTGTGAGCAGATTGCCTGTATGTGTTTTATGGTTTTGTGCACAATTCTCGTTTCCAAGGCATAGTAAAGACAACTGAAACTACATCTAAACAACATCGACACTACATCAACATTGAATCGTCAACGCTCTCGTTCGTAAGTTTGTTTTTTCATCTCGGCGCACCACGCCGAGTTGTGGTAATTCTTCCACTTCGTCAGGATTTCCTTCTTCTGGAGGCCAATGACCTCCGACAGGGGCGCAAGGTCCTCCAGGATCGCACGTATGTTCTCTACATTCTGGTGAACGCAACATGCAGATCAAGAGTAATTCACGCGCGTGTCTGCGAGAGTGCCTTCATGACGCAAGCCATGGCACGTGCCCGTGCGCGCGGCGCGCTGCCAATGGCGGCACGCAAACCTATGTTATACCGACGGCTTGCGCAAATGCTTACTCAGATTATCACGACATACACAACATATGCGCGCGGTTATTGGTTCATACGACAGAAGACACACGGCCGATGCATGCACGAGAGCGCATACTAAAATGAGAAATGTGTCCTTCGAGGGTTCCTTCTTCTGGCCCGTGGGGGCCGTCTTCTTCTGGCTGGAAGGCGTCGGCGTGGCCCTCTTCTTGCCAGAAGGCGTCGGGTCCGCCTTCCTGGGCTTCTTCGTGGCCGAGGGGGTGGACAGTTTGCGCTTCTTCATGACCGAGGGGGTGGGCAACTTGCCAGGGCTCTGCGTGCCGTTGCTCTTTGCCGCTTTCGTCTGCCCACCGAGCGCCGCGGGAGCTGGGTCAGGTGCCAGCGCAGCCAGGAACAAGTTGCGATCCTTCTCAGTCGTGGTCGTCGAGAACGCCTTGGCGCTGCCCTCCGAAGACTTGAACTGGAAGGTGAAAGGGCGCTGTGGCTCAGGCGAGGGCTTCCGCGCGGGCTTCGGTGGCGGCGAGCGCACGTGGAGGTCGGCGCCCAGAAGGTCAGCGAAACTGCCGAGCCCGTCGCTCGAAGAGGCAGCGCCGCTGCTGGCGCTTCCCTGGGGCGGTCCTCCCAACGCACGAGAGGCCGAGGGCTCTCGTCCCGCGTGCCACGCGGTGCCGCAGGCTGCCTGCAGTCGGGGCCCTGAAGAAGGAGCCCTTTTTGTTGGGGAGGGGCTCAGTGTTCCCTAGTTGCTCTACAGTGCTCCCTGGGTTGTCCTGAGGTTTCCCATGGAAAGCCGGAGTTTACCACATGGGAGAAAGGGGCCTCGTTCCTTATGTATCGTTCCTCAGGTCAAGGCCCCGACTGTATTCACATTCGTATGGTTGAACACCTTGTGGATCTCCATCTCTGCCGCGGCCGCCTCACGAACCAAGCGCGGCAGAGGTATGGGCCAGAATGGAACGAAATGCTGTCGCGCAGGAAACAAAAGAAAGCGTCAAATGAGAAGCTGCATGCTTCATTGTATGGCATCAAATACTTCAAGATGCTGGCGCAGCTGAAGGCTGCCCGAAGCATGCGTGCAAATGTTGTGCCGACGTTGCGCACGTTGACGGAACAAAGGGAGCGATATTATAGTGTAATCGTTCCGAGAAGACAACATCCATCTTCATAGACGAATGACAGAAGTTGGTATCCTTGCAGGTCAGAGCGTTCAGCTCTGCCTCGTACTGCAGCGCGTCTCTGTACTCGGAGGCAGCCATCCTCGAGGCATGCAGCGCCATGCCCCGGCTCCTCCTCCTCCTCGTCCTCCTCCTCCTCTTCCTCCTCCTCCTCCTCCTCCTCCTCCTCCTCCTCCTCCTCCTGGTAGTCCTCCCCCTCCCCTCCTCCTCCTCCTCCCCCTCTTCCTGGTCGTCCTCGTTCTCGTCCTCCTCGTCTTGCTCGTCCTCCCCCCAATGCTGCGCTGCGCCTCCCCTCGCCCAAATCGCGCTCTTCTCTTTCATGCCCCGCGCGCGGGCCCGACGCGCCCTGATGTACCGCGAGAGTGTCGCGGCAGAAGTGCCCCCAAGGGAAGGCCACACGTGCTGTCGCGAGGCCATAAAAAAAATATAAAAAAATAAAAAAAAATAAAAAAATAATTTAAAAAAAAAAAAAACTCCGAGGGGAATCGAAAAGAAACGCACGCGACACACGCACGCGCGCATACAAGTGCATAGTGCAATCGCGTGAGTACAACGTTTGCGCGGTCCCGTCAGGCAAGAGCATTGGAATAATGATACGTTGTCAACATGTCAAACAGACAAGTGCCGCATTGCGTCGAGTGAACAATCTGACATTCATGACAGGCCGCCTGCTGGCGCGTCTTGTATATGGCTGCACGCAACTTCACCTGGTGAACAACCATGTTCGGGGACGTCTTGGCAATGTCCGTGAACAGGCCTGGAACCTGAGCCATAATCGTGAGATCTGGGATGCTGTTCTCCGCCACGTGCTTGCTGAGCGGTCTGCAAGGCGCGTGATTTCACAAAGGAGCCCAATTGGACGTTAGTGTGGCACGCTGAAGAATACAAACATGCATGACTGTTTCTTGCAACGACTGCGCGTGGCATGATAAAACGCATTCCCGACGCAACGCAAATCACATGACAATTGATTGCAACGTATGCTAGTTTGCCCAGCATGGTACGAACCATAACAATGCAGAACAAGTGTGGGATGTTTCACAGAAAACTGCAATGCGGCAAAAATACCCGATGATCCGCCACAGGTCGCGGGTGCCCTCCTTCTTCTACAAGCGGTCCAGCACATTGACCAGATAATTGATACTCATCTCCGAAGCAGCCTTCGACCTCTCACGCCTGCGCGGGAGGCGGCCGAGCATCGCGTCCGAAACGCGCGCCTCCTCCGAAACGATTAGCTTGGTCCCAAACTGCTAGAACGGAAGCAAGCATCAAGGACAAGTACAACAATGCGTCGGCACCGCAGAGACGCGAACGCCTAAACAATTTACCCAAACAATCGTTGCCAGAATTGGAGCGAGCGACAAACGGGAGCAACATTAGCGCAATGATGATATACCGTGATGTCGTTTCGATCCGCCGTCAAAGCCGAATACGTTCGAACACGTGTGGGATATCATACACATTTATCCAAACAGTTGAGCAATATTAATACCAATAATCATTCCGAACATATTTTAACGAATTTGGAAACATAATTCAAATTAGCGGTAAATCGTTTCAAACTAGATCTGAACAGCTAGAACATAAGGTGTCTAACTTATAAAAAAAGTTAAATTCATTGTTATCACAACTTAGTTTTTTTTTATGTTAGCATGTCTTGAGGGTGGGGTATGTGGAAACACGGGCTCAGCGCGACGCGGTCGGAGCTCCCAGGGGGGAGGCAGCGAGGCGATGTGCGCCCGTGCATGGAGGAGGGGGGGAGCCGGAAGAGAGGCGGCCTCGATCCTCGGGGGAAGCAGAAGCGACACCGCCACCAGCAGGGGGACCCCCTCTCGAGCGAGGAGGTCCACGCTCTCCCCGAGCTGGGGGTGGAGGGTGTCTCGAGCGAGAGGAGGGTCCCCACCGCCCGGAGGACCCCCTGTGGCTCCTGCAGCTGGTGGTCCCTGGTGTCCGACGCGGGAATTCATACATGACCACCGCCTGGAGGGTTAGTTTTCGGAGCCTCGGCAGGCGGTGGATATGGACATAATCGGGCCCCCGGGGGCCGAAATATATCCATATCCACCGCCCGCTGGGGCACCAGGACGTCGGTTCCCAGGCGGTGGATATGGATAACTCCCCGCCTCGCACGGTGGCGGTGGTGTGGCCAGTCCTCGTTCCTACGGTTAGGGGCAACGTCAAGGGGGGAAGCGGGTCAGGGGGGGGACGCATCGGCCCCCAAGTGCCCAGTCAGCGCCGACCCGACGGGGGCCCAATGTGGTGGGGGCACTCTTGTGGGAATGCGCTTAGGAGGCTTCAGACGCCAGAAGATTCCCTGTCTGATGAGGGCGGCGGTGATAGTCATGGCCAAGGCTCAGCTGGTGTCCCACCGGCTTCCAGACCCTGGATTCCTCGCCCAAGAGATGTGTATCAAATGCCCTCGCCGTAGCCAACCTCTCCCAGGAAGGGGCGTTTTTGCGGTCGGGTGCCTACCGCCGCTCTACCAACGATGTATCGCCGATTCCGGCTTGATGTTTACCCTCCTGAGCTGGTCCTCCCTTGTCGTTGCCCATCGCTCGAGGGTGTCAATGGGCGTCTATTCGGAAATTCAGAACTGTTGCTCACTTGCTATAGGGCTCTGAGGGAGTGTTCTGATGCCCTCCAGGTGCTGTGCAGATCCAAGGCTGATCGCTTCAAGTACGATGCCGCGCACTCAGCTTGCGCTTTCTCGGAATCGGCTGTCCGGCCGCGATCGACCGAGTGCTCGTCTGCAATGGTTCGGTCGCAGGTCGAGCAGCTGCTTCGCTTGGGGGTTGCTCTGGTTGTGTCCAGATGACCACGCAACATATATCTTGATGCAGTGGGTGCGGTTGGATGGGAAAAAGCTCGAGCGAACCTACGCCTTGCCGAGCTGCGAATTTTGCGAAGGCGTCCGGTGAGGCCCACGGCAGTCCTGATTTGGACCGCGTGTCGGCCACGCACTCTGTTTTCAGATTGGCGATCCGGACAGGTTTTAGCAGGGTATAGTTGGGGTGGACACGGTTTGGGCGAATTTCTTCGTGCGCGGACGCTCTCATGTAATGTCAAGTTGTTCAGTTCCGCTTTGCTTGCTTTATCGGGCATCGTTGAGGCCTACCATACGCGTCCGACGACAATTACAACCGTGACGACGATCTTGCAGACAACGGCTCTTGCTGACCTTCCCTCTGTCCTTGTTGTTGCTCCCTTCCCTCGGGCTCCTGCCATGGTCACCTCTCGCTGCGTTATGGAACCATCGAGTACTTCACTGCGGCACTTCTGTCCAGCCTGGTGGTGAGGGGCCGGGTGATGTGGCCCAGGGGTCGGAGAGTTTGTGGATGACCGTCGTCTCGACCTGCAGTCGTGGATATGGAAAGCTAGGAGGGGCTTCTTGTGCAGGGGCGCGCGGGTTGCGGGGAGAGGGAGCGGCAAATGGGGGGGGGCTGATATCCACTGCACCTGCTGTTCCCAGCGGTGGAAGATAAAACCTCCTCCCGCTGCTCATCTTCCCTCTTCCCTTTCCGAGTGCGACCGAGAGCGATTTCGACAGCATCCGCGTCGGCTTGGCGCCTCTTTCAGGGTCAGCACGGACACTGCAGTGGAGTGGTACCGTGGGTCCCTTCTGTTTCCCATTACTCTTTCATGATTCTTCCTCGCGGCGGGGACGGCCAGGGCTTGTATGCTTCGCCGCCTGGCAGGGTGACCAGATTTGATTGCCTTGACTGTAGTGACGTTTGTCCCTATCGAAGACGCTTGCGGCGAATCACCGCCGCCCCCTGACTTTTGGAATCGCTCATCTCGCCGAACGTTGTGGCCAGAGTCCTGCCACGCTATCGGACCATATGTTCCCCCAGCCGTTGTGGAAACCCTTCGGAGAACACTTGGAGGAGGATGGCGGGGAAGATCAAGAGGAGGAGGAGGAGGAGAAGGAGGAGGTTGTAGGCTTCGTCCAAGCCGGCCGTGGGATCTCATAGCGTAGCGCGAGGAGGAGCAGGACCAGTGTAAACCAAAGAGTCATCAACGATGTTGGGATAAACCCTCCCTCCAAGCTCCCTCTTCATAGGCCCCATACAACGGTTCATTTTCATTGAGGGAATTGCCTCGTTGAAAGACAACCGTTTGAAGACCCTGAAGCATGCCAAAACATTGTACTTTGGATTCCAACGCCACGGATCAACCTGCTTGTTGCGTCTTGACGATCCGGAATCGTTCACGAACGCCATTCCTCGTACTTCAACGCTCGCGAATCAACCTAACTGTTGCACCCGCATGATCCTGAATTCTTCCCAAACACCATGTCTGGTACGTTGACCATGGGAATCCGAAAAACTGTTGCAAATGTTATTAAAGAATGTGCGTGGCGCTCATGCGAGAGCCACATTTTGAAAAGGAGCCGCCCTCAATCCGTTAAATTCTCGCAAACGTTCAAGACGAATGTGCGCGGCGCTCAGGCGAGAGCCACATTCTGCAAACAACCCGCCCTCGATCTGTGAATATGTTGTCAATGTTAAGGCTTCAGAAGAGGAATGGAGGAGGAGGAGGAGGAGGAGGGGGAGGAGGAGGAGGGCAGGAGGGGGAGGAGGAGGAAGAGGAGGAGGACCAACAGGAGGGGGCATCTTGGGAGCCTCTGGAGGACCTCTTAGCGCCTAGGCCTCTTGGGGGCCTCCTTGGGCCTCCTTGGGCCTGGCCTCTTGTAGGCCTCTTGGGGGCCTCCATGGCCGTCTTAGAGCGTTCCTGGCCCGTCTGACGCCGTCGGAAGCCGTCTTGGGGGCCTCTCTGAACCGACTTGGGGCCCTCTCGGGGTGCTCCGGGACCGTCTTGGAGGTCATATTGGGCGTCTAGGAGGGCTTCGGCTGGCTTGGAGCCCTCTTGGGGCCGTCTTGGGGGCATCTTGGGCCGTTGTGGGGCCATCTTGTATCTTGCAGGCCCCTTGTGCAATCTTGAGGCGATCTTGAGGGGCTCTCGGGCTGTCCCAGGCCGCCTGAAGGCCGAAAAGAAACAAATGCCCAAATATTTCAAACACCCAGAAAGGAAATCATCCATAGCCGTTTTGGCTCAAGCCATTTCGTGATGGTGGCGAGTATAATTCGAAGGTGCAGCTGGCCGCATGAGGGACTTGAAATGGGTTTGCACCTTCTGCTTCATTGTGATCTCTTTTTGTGTACTGTTGTCAACCTGTCTTATTCGTGGAGATTTCATTTCATTTAATCGCTTCGCTCATTCCGCCGGGCCTCTTGGGGCCGTCTTCGGGGCCTCTTGGGGGCTTCTTGGGAGCGTCTTGGGGCTCCTTGGCGGCGTCTTGGGCTCCCTGGGGCCTCTTGGGGGGCTCTTGGGGGCCCCTTGGGGCGGGAGGGGGGGTAGTCGATTGCAGCCGCCCCCTCGGAGGCCACGATCCTCGTGAGGGGTGGCGAAAAATAGCCCCCCCCCCTGGGGATCGCCCGGGACCCGGCCGGGACCCGGCCGGGAGTCAGCTGGGGTAGTTTTCGTCCGGGGGCCTCCAGGGGCCGCCCCGCGCGCGCGAATTAGAAATGTTGTTAAGTAGTTACCGGAGATCTTAGCACGCCTCTGGCCCGTTGGGCCGGCGAATTGCGAGTGAGCAGTTTTGAATCTATTGAGATTATTGTGGGACCGTCGGACAGTAGTGAGGCTGTGCCCGAGACCGTCTTGGCTAATGGGACGTCCGCTGGGATGAACTCTGAAAAATGGAGAGACAGAAGTCGATCAAGCATTGCACCGCCAGAAGTCAGTGTTGGTCCGTCGGACAGCGGTGGTTCGAGCATGACCAATTCTACGGCTGCGATTGAGACCGTCTTGGCTTATAGGACTTCCGTTGCGGTGAATTCTGATAGGCAGAGAGAGATCGGGAAATATAGAGATCGACAAAGAGATAGAAAGAGAGAGAGAGACAGAGCGAGAGAGAAACAAATCAATCAAGCATTGCGCCGCCAGAAGCGCTGCAGTCTACGGCCCTTCCTCCGGAAACGCGGGGCGCGTTTCGTTTGCCCATTACATTTATACACGTGGGAAAGGCGGGTGGATCTTCCTTGGCATGCAAACTTTCCCTGACAGAACGCATGGAGAGATACATGTGCCCAGATGAGCGTGACGCACGCGCGTTGGAATCGCAAGTGTCACTGCGCGTAGAAGGATGGGTTCACACAAGTATTTGGAGATGGGCACGTGGCCCCCAAACAAATATACTTTTTGCTGTGCGGAATCCAATACACAGAGCAGCGTCTGCTTTCACATACCACCTGGCGGTGCAACGCCACCCTTGCTCTGGGCACTTCGACGATCTGGTTCCACTTGACTTGGGCGGCTTGCCCAAGCTCCAGAGCACGGCGTTGCTCAAGCTGTGGGCGAACGCCACCGCGAAAAAAAAAGGTCGGAAGCAAGCGCGTCTGGACGCGAGTGCGAAGCTTTTGGAGTGAGGTGTCTTGCGGGACAGGCTGCGCCTCGAGAGGCATATCGAGTGCCGAACTTGTGGAAGGCAGGCCTCTGCGGGTCGCATTTCCAGTTCAATTACGAGTATTATGTACCAAAAGTTTTGGATCGTTTGGCAGAGGGCTCCGTGAAACGCATCTTCACAATCCGGAACGAGCACACGTGGGATGATTATAGTAGGTTGGATTTGTTGTTGGGTGGCAGTGGCAGCCGACCAGCCGATATACACATTCGAGATTCATCCATCTGGAAGCAGGCGGGCAACAGAAATCTAAGTCTCGACCGATTACCGACATTATGCAAGATACTGTGCAACGAGATATATTATTACAAGTGGACGATCTTGTTGGCAGACAATCTCAGACAACAAGACGTCGAAGCGTCATTTCGCAGTCTGGAGCTACAGTGCCCTGCGGCAAGTCAAATTCCGCCCGCCGCTCGCCACCGACACACAAAGACTCCGCCTATTCTTTCAAAGGTTGGCCAGGTCGGAGATTGCAACTTTCCGGAAATGTAACGGCAGAAAGTGCAACCATTGGATCCTTTCGTTCGGAAAGTGGATTTATTGCGTCAGGATGTAATGCTTGCGTTGGTTCTCAAGGTGTTGCTGGCAGGCGCTTGCGTATTGTAGATCTGACGTGGTTTGTTTGTGGGCTTCCTTGCCAAGCAGATGAAACACCTAAAAAAGAAATCGCAGTTTTTTGCCTCTGCACGCCTTCCTGGGGACCCTGTTGGGAGCCTCTTGGGCCGTCTTGGAAGCCTGTCGGGAGACTTGGGCCGTGTTTGGCCGTCTTAGGCCGTCTTGGAAGCTTTTTGGGCCGACTTGGAGGCATCTTGGACCCTCTTGGGCCGTCTTGGAGGCCATTTCGGACCTCTTGGGCCGTCTTGGAGGCCATCCTGGATCATCTTGGGCGAGCTTGGGAGGCCTCTTGGGCCGTCTTGGAGGCTTGTCGGGGACCTTTTGAGCAGTCTTGGACTGTCTTGGAGGCTTCTTGGGTGGGCTTGGAGGCATCTTGGACCCTCTTGGGCCGTCTTGGAGGTCATCTTGGACCATCTTGGGCGAACTTGGATGCCTCTTGCGGCCGTCTTGGAGGCTTCTTGGGCCGTCATGAGGTCATCTTGAGACCTTTGGGGCTAGCTTGGGGCGATCTTGGGGGCCTCTCGGGCCGCCTTGGGCTGTCGGAAGGCCGAAAGGAAACAAATGCCCAAACCCATCAGCAACCTAAACAAAACCAATGATGTGGGCCTCTTCGGGACCTCTTGGAGGGCCTCTTGGAGGCCACTGGGGCCGTCTTGGATGATTGTTAGGGGCTTCTTTGGCCGTCTTTGGCAGTTTTGGAGGCTTCTTGGGTGGACTTCGAGGCATCGTGGACCCTCTGAGGCCGCCTTGGAGGCCATCGTGGAACATCTAGGGCCGTTTTGGAGGCCTCTTGGGCCAGTCTGGCTGTCTTGGAGGCCATCGAGGCCGTCTTGGAGACGTTGGTTGCGCAGCGGCGGGGCCTTCCGGGAGGCCGGCGGCATGGACCGAAGTTCTATGGGAGGTTTGATGGAAAGTGTGCAAAACCAAGCCGTGGGATCCAGCACGCCAGGCGCCCCTGTGATCAAGCAGCAAGGTGCGGCGGATCGAGTGGCCCTCGGTCCATGCCACCAGCGTTCCCTGGTCGTGATCGAGGACGAGAGGTCTTTGAGATGGGCCTCTTGGGGTATCTTGGGATGCTCCTTGGAATCTTGTCGGTAGCACGTGGGGGGCCTCTTGGGAGTGCCTTGGGGCCTCGTGGGGGCCTCTGGCAGGCCTCTGGTGGGCGTGCTTGTGGTCTCGGGGGCCAGCTCGGGGGGAACGGGTTCGAGGTGTGTGTTCGGGTCCCCCCCCCCCTTTCGGGCTAAGGTTTAATCTTACTTGTGGATAAGAATTCTAAATCGTGGATTGAGAGTGAAATGATTGTGTGGTGTCATGGTGTAGTGTCGAGAACCCTTGCGTGCGACAGACACTACAGTATGACACTACACTAGGGTTAGTGTGGTGTCGTAGTGAAGTGTCGAGAACCCTTGCGTGTGACATTACAGTACGACACTACACTCAGGTTAGTGTGGTGTCATAGTGTAGTGTCGAGAAGCCTTGCGTGTATCACTACAGTATGGCACTACACTAAGGTCACTGTGGTGTAACAGTACAGTGTTGGGGGCACCGGGGTGCGACACTACACTATGACACTACACCACGGCCGAGGGGGGGGGGGCTGAGTTTTTTTCCACTCCGCGAGAGAAGTCTCTACGCTACGGTTACTGTGGTGTCATAGTATAGTGTTGGGGACACCAGGGTGCGACACTACACTATGGCACTACACTGCGGCTGAGGATAGGGGCTGCGTTTTTTCTGTGAGCTGTTCCGTAAGGTTTATGAACGGCTCCGCTCCGCGAGAGAAGTCTTTACGCTACGGTTACTGTGGTGTCATAGTATAGTGTTGGGGGCACCAGGGTGCGACACTACACAATGGCACTACACTAAGGCTGAGGAGAGGGGCTGCGTTTTTCCTGTGAGCTGTTCCGTAAGGTTTATGAACAGCTCCGCTCCGCGAGAAGAAGTCTCTACGCTACGGTTACTGTGGTGTCATAGTATAGTGTTGGGGACACCTGGGTGCGACACTACACTATGACACTACACTACGGCTGAGGAGAGGGGCTGAGTGTTCTTTACGCTTGCTGTTCCGTAGGGTTTTATAATGGCTCCTTTCCGCGAGAGAGGACTCTACGCTACGGTTACTGTGGTGTCATAGTATAGTGTTGAGGACACCGGGGTGCGACACTACACTGTGACACTTGTTGGCGCCTGCTCGCCGTGTTTTTCCTCTCCCCCCTCGTACCTCGCCCCCCTCCTCCCCTCCCCCTGCCTCCCTCCCTCTCCGGGCCGCACAGCCTGCCCCGAGCCGGCGTTGCGAAGCAGCGCGTGGCTTTCCCCGCGCGAGCTCACGGCACGCTTTTGGCGTGTCGGGGCCGCCTCGTTTGGAGGGGGCTGCGGCGCGGGACGGCAGAGACGGAGGGATACGTGCATCGGCGATGGCGTTGCGCCTCCGCGTCTTTGCGGCATTGCGGCATTGCGGCGGCATTGCGCCTCCGCGTCTTTCTCATTATAACGAGTAGGCGCGTAGCTTTGCTGCACAAGCTGTGAGGGCAGAGCGGTATGCACCCTCAAATAGACGGTTGCACCGTTCCCGCTCGCATTGCAGACATTGCCATGCTGCACGGCGTGTCTCCATCCTGAAAACGTGTGTTTTGTTCTGCGAACAGTTGTGGGGTTCCGAAAACATGTCGTGGTAGGCCGAGAGGAATGCTGGGACGATCGGTGCCTGCTCAAAGCTCCTCACCCAGACATGCTCGTTTTCTGTCTGTTGTTCCGTAGGGCTTTTGATTGGCTCCGCTCCGCGAGAGAGGACTCTACGCAACGCTTGGATACTGTGGTGTCATAGTATGTATCGCGTTGGGGACACCGGGGTGCGACACTACACTGTGGCATTACACTACCGCTGAGGGGGAGGGGAGAGTTTGTTTTACGCTTGCTGTTCTTTAGGGTTTAGCTTGGCCCGGCTCCGCGAGAGAATGCTCTACGCGGCCCGTTCCCCCCTGAGCGGGCGCACCCTGCCCGTCGCACTGTCTGGGCTCGGCTGCGCGCCGCCCACGGCTTCGAGAGGCGACGACGACGCTGCAGCCGCCGACCACGACAACCACGCCCACGACGGTGCTCGCGCCCCTGCAGGCATCGGCGGGCCGCGTCCGCCGACAGGGGCAGGTGTCGGACGACAGGGAGGGGGCGAGGGCAAGGGAGGGGGGGGGTCGACACTGCTGCATGCAGCTGGTTCTGGTCACGCCGCTGGGCGTGCTCCTCGCTTCGGCGCATGGGCGAAAAGCATATCCGTATCCGCGGCCTCGCGGGCAGGGCTCCTGGGCCGCGACCCCGTGGATACGGGGCGTTTCTTCGCGGATGCCCCGCGCGGAACGTATCCGTGCGACCGCGTATCCGCGGGTTCGCGCCCCGGAATGCAAACCGCGGGGGCGCGGGTACGGATATGTGCGCCGCTCGTGATCGGCGGCGAGCCTGTGGGGAAGTGAGAAAGGGCGGGTCTTCTCAGAGGATTCGGAAGTCCCGTGACCTCCTGAGAAATCTTCGGGGCCTCCCCCGAAGACGCCGAAAGCTGCTCAGAAGGGGCGAGGGGGCTTCCGAGAAGTCCCGCCGCCTTCTGAGAAGGCCTTCTCCTTCCTATTGTTCCCCCCCTCGCTCGCCGCCGATGGATGCATGGGCGCCTCCCAGTGCCCGAGAAACCAGCTATGCGTGAGCCTGTTCGTCACATACATACACACATACATACATACATACATACATACAGACAGACACACACATACATACATACATACATACATACATACATACATACATACATACATACATACATACATACATGCATGCATGCATGCATACACACATACATACATACATACATACATACATACATACATACATACATACATACCTACATACATACATACATACATGCATGCATGCATGCATGCATGCATGCATACATACATACATACATGCATACACACATACCAACCCACCTACCTACCGACCCACCAGCCTACCTACCTACCTACCTGCCAACCTACCTGCCAACCGACCTGCCTACCTACCTACCTACATACATACATACATACAGAAATGCATACATGCATACATACATACATACATGCATACATGCATGCATGCATGATCGCATACATACATACAGAAATGCATACATTCATGCATACATGCATGCATCCATCCATCCATACATACAGACAGACATACATGCAGACATGCATGCATGCATACATACATACATGCATGCATACATGCATGCATGACTGCATGATTGCATACACACATACATACGTACATACAGACAGACAGACAGACAGACAGACAGACAGACAGACAGACAGACAGACAGACACACAGACAGACAGACAGACAGACAGACATACATGCATACATACACACCATGTTTGCTTCCCCTCCCCCATCTCTTCCCGCTGCATCCGACCCGAGGCGAGGGGCTGGCAGAGAGGGAGATGACGGGGGGCGGAAAGGCTCCGTGGGGATGTTTCCAGAACCACCGCATGGCGGACCCAGGGGACCTCGGCGGGCGACTGGGACTGGGACGGGCTCCGCCGGTCGCCGCGGCGAGGGTTTTTTTTTTCCGCACGGGCACCCCGCTGCGTGGCACACTTCGCGGTTGCGGGAGGCCTTCTACGCAGGGCCTGGCGAGGAGGACGCGCGGACCGGGGAGAGCTCGTCTGATCGCCGTGGCGAGGGCCGAAACATATCCGTATCCACCGCCCGCCGATATCCCCGAGGATCGGTCCCCCAGTGGGTGGTTGTGAACATATTCAGGAGGGGAAAAAACAGTTACACAAAAAACCTTCGATTCCCAGGAAGATACGAGAAATATCGAAAGTGGAAGGGGGAAGCAAACATGTTGAAAGTATCGAAAGTTGTCGTCGTCCTCCTCCTCCTCCTCCTCCTCCTCCTCCTCCCCCTCCTCCTCCTAGCCGCTGCAGCGGCCCATGGACCACCACACACACACGCGGCAGTTGCAACAGACAGAGGATCTGAGCTCAGCGACAGCAGTGGTTTTGTCTCTCGTGCGAGGTTCGCTCTCTCTCTCGCTCTCTGTCTCTCTCTCTCTTTCTGTTTTTCCCTCTCTCTTTCTCTCTCTCTCTCTCTCTCTCCCTATCTATATGTCAAGGAATGGAGATGCCTTGTGCCGCTGTCAAAGGCTTCTCGCCGTGTGCGCCTTCAGCTTCGTGGTGGATTGCATCATGACGGCGGAAGGCGGCCGTGCCCGCGCTAGGGACCAGAAAACGACACGGACGCTCACCTACAACCCGATGCATCTCTCAGACCTTCGTGGGTCTGGGATCTCGGAGGAGGCAAGGAACATCGGAACTATAATTTTGCAAGGCACGGGCAGGCGCAAAGGAGAAGACGACCACAGGTTATTTCGCCGTCGCTACCACTATGAGATTTTTTTGGGGGTATGCAAGGGCGTCGGACCGTGCTTGCGGGACGAGTATAATTCTGCGCAGTAAGGGTGCTACTCAACGTTTCCTTTGGCGCATGTTTCTTCCACCGGCCCTAGCAGGACGTTGCGGCGCGGTGAGGATCAAGCCAGGTACGCTCGACATCATATTTGTCACCGTGCGCCTCCCCGTCTAGTCTAGTGAACGCGCAGGTCGAGCTGCACACAGTCAGCTGGTTCAAAATATTACTGGATGGGCACGGTGCACACGAATGCTGGGCATCGATCTGGACGACGGCTTGAGCAGCTCTTCCGATATGACGTGGGAAGGCGAGCAGATTCCTGCCGCATTGGACTCTCCAGGCGCGAATTTCGAGATTGGCCCTTACAGCGCAGACAAGGAAGGCATGACGGCGCAAATTTGTAGAGACAGGTCCTGGTTGAGCAGCAGCTGTGTGCTTGCAACCCTTTTCTCCTATTGTGCCTTTGGTTTCGCGGCTAGCGGTCCTTCTTCCAGGTTGGACTTCGTTCACATGCCACAGGCTCTTCGGGCGCGCGCGGTCAGCCGTATTTTCCTTCATCAAGCTGGACGGCGCCTACAACCCATAGCGACACTTGATGACCGTGAGCATGGCCGTGTCTTCCTGGAGTTCAGCAGCGAGTTCCAAGCACAATTTGGCGAACAGAAGAATCGATTGGGCTACGATCGGATCATGCCCACTTTGCGGACTAGCACGGTTTGTATTGAAACGCTGGAGGAGACCCGCATTTCCATCGACATTTCTGAGAGCTTGAGACGGACTGGATTCGCCGATGCCGACGCGCTATGCCTGGCGATGCGTGGGATCCCTTGCGAGCCAGGTCGCCCCACCGCAAAATAGTTGCTTCAAATTCAATCGGGGGCGGAGGTCGATCACTCAGAGCTTGAACGGCGCAGGCCCACGTTGCCTGCGGAAAGGAAGCATTTTCGCGGCAAGTGCATTGGCGCGCCCTCGTTTAACAGAGAAGGCTCGGGACTCGCACGGGCGCGGAAACGCTTCGGATTCGCAAACTGTCCAAGGCCATCACTCGCGAGGTCAACGGCGCTCTCGCCGTGGAGCCGAACGACGCGTGGAGAGCTCACGACCACAACGCGGAGCAGCGTTCCAGTCGCCGTCGCTCTTTCAGAGGATGCGGGCCACAGCGCCCGAGGTACTTCGCTGCTCGGGCGGAACAATGTGACGAACGAGAAATTGCAGACTTCCTGCGTCAGCCCGCAGCTGAACGCGGGCTGAGAGCCGCGCCGCGTGACCTCCAAGCTGAGCCGCGCAATCGCCGCGACAGGCGGCGCGCCCGTGGTTGAGAGGCACCGGGCGAAGTAGGATATTTCGCAATGCTGATTTCCGCTTTGGACGAGGCTACAGACTCGGGAAACGTTCGCTTCACGGCGCAGCAGCGCCCCAAGAGCAACCGAAAGACAAACGGGATTTTTTGCGCCCGACCCCGTCCGCCTCGCCGGACGCGTGGTCTAAGCGCCCTCCTCGCGCCCCCCCCCCCCCCCTTCCTCTTCCCGCCCTGGGGAGAGCCCCCTCCCCCGTGGAATCCTAGCTTTGGTCAGCAGATCCACAGTTCCGTGGATAGTCTGATGCATCGCACGCGGTGCCCCGTGGGCCCCATTTCCCCCGGGCCCGGGATTTTAGTCGATATTATATATTCATCCCCGGGGAAAAAGTCGAGCCGCAGGTTTTTGCACGCGCGGGGAAGTGGATCCGCGCAGGAGAGAAGTAGAATCCTCGATGTCGTCGCACACCCGAAAAGGGATCCACTTGGATCCATCGGTGCCCTCATGCTGTTATCCATGCATGCCCCAGAAAGACGGACAACGCCCTCGCGGTCTTAACCGTCTCGAACTTTGGCCTATATTGGCTGATGAAGAACATCATACTATCGCACGTGGCGGCGGGCGCGGCACGGACGTGCGACCATGTGCTGGCGCGGTGTTCATTGATCGACTCTTAGATGTTATCGCTTGCTTTCGACGGACGCGCGCTGTCCCGTGGATCTTCGACGTATTTTTTGTTGGCGCAGATGAGTGGAGCGGCCAATTTGAGCCAATGGCCTCGCGCTGGAGTCTTTGTTTTGTGCCCGCTGGGCAAGGCTTGGAGTGCTCGTCCATGGAATCGCGCCCGTCGGCGTCGTGACAATTTGCCATGCGTCTGTCGCGGCTTTGCGAAGAAGCGAACAAATGAACGCTATTGGCGACGGCGAACGATTGCTCGCCTTTCGGAGACTGCAGAAGGTGGTCTTTTCTCGCGCGACGGTGAACGACGACGCTGCGAATGCAGTCTTAGTGGCAAGTGCGAGATGATCATGTATACCCTGGGCCTACTTTACTTGCCCGATGATGCGCGCTTCTTCCAAAACCAATGGATAATGCAGAGCGCATGCCAGATCGAGACCCCGCCGAGACCATCGCGGGGAGACCGACGACTGGCGACCTCATGGGGCATCCCAGTGCAGCTCTCGGGTTTTCTCATTATCATCTGAAGGGTCTCGAACCACATCGTGCGACGCGGGAACTCGCTGCGTCGAAGGCGCGCGCGATGGCGACGGAGGTGGCTGGCTCGATCGCGGACGTGGGCCGTTTTCTCTCTGCCGACGACGTCGCCAAGCATATTATTCCGGTCTGGGGGCTTGCGCCTTTTCGCGGTGGCGG